AAAATATATTAAAACACGTTAACTTTTTAGTTCTTATAATTTTTTTTTTCAGAAATCACTCATTATTTTATCCCAAAATTACCTATTAATTTACCAATTGAGTTACATTTCATACATATTAAATATTAAAAATTATATAATTAAAATATTTTTTGTTTTATCTGTTCAATATGATACTTATATATTAAATTAAAAAAACTAATATAGTAAATAAAAAAGTTATTTAAAATTAGAATAATAAAGATTTTTTTTTCTAATCTACATGTATAAATGTACAAATAACTATTGTCTATCACCTCAAATTTACACATAAAATTAATAAGAGCAAAAAACTAACAAGTGTTTAACAACACAGTTCGATTACATCGATAAGTATATTTTTAGAAGGTTTATATTTAGTTATATTAATTATATTATTTTTGTTTATTAGTTGTGTTTTATATTTATTAGTAAGTGTCACAACTTAGTTATTATTCATATTATTTCTTATATTTAATTTTTTTAAACCTTTATCTTGTTCTTTCACATGTTCTTAACTGTAGATTTGTCAAAAAAGACAAAATAAAGTATAGATTTTTTTCGATCATCTGCCTCATTATATATCAAATATTTGTATATCATATATTATATTATATGTAATTACAATTTTTAATTAATATTTTAATTAAATATTTACAATTCATAAATTCATTAATAATATTGTCGAGTCAACTTTTGTTCATAAATTTTTTAAAAATATATTATTTTCATTGATTTGCTTATGTTGAATTGAGAAAAGTTATGTTTTTAATTACATATAGGGAGGATATAAGATTTCTTATATTTTTTATGTAGTATTTATTGAGTAATTGTGTTTACAATTTTTCTATTGAAAATATATTAAACACGTGAACTTTTTAGTTCCTATAAATTTTTTTCATAAATCACTCATTATTTTATCCCAAGATTACTTATTAATTTACCAATTGAGTTACAATTCTTACATATTAAATATTTAACAATTAAAATATTTATTGTTTTCTCTATTCAATATGATACTTATATATTATATTAAGAAAACTAATATAGTAAATAAAAAAGTTATTTAAAATTAGAATAATAAAGATTTTTTTTAATATATATGTATAAATGTACAAATAACTATTGTCTATCACCTCAAATTTACACATAAAATTAATAAGAACAAAAAACTAACAAGCGTTTAGCAACTCAGTTCGATTACATCGATAAGTATATTTTTAGAAGGTATATATTTAGTTATATTAATTATATTGTTTTTGTTTATTAGTTTGTTTTATATTTATTAGTACGTGTCACAACTTAGTTATTTTTCATATTATTTCTTATATTTAATATTTTTTTAAAACTTTATCTTATTCTTTCACATGTTCTTAATTGTAGATTTGTCAAAAAACACATAATATAAAGCATATAATTTTTTCGATCATCTGCCTCATTATATATAAAATATTTGTATATCCTATATTATATTATATTTAATTACAATTTTTTAATTAATAATTTAATTAAATATTTACAATTCATAAATTCATTAATAATATTGTCGAGTCAACTTTTGTTCATAAAATTTTTAAAAATATATTATTTTCATTGATTTGCTTATGTTGAATTGAAAAAAGTTATGTTTTTTAATTATATATTGGGAGGATATAAGATTTCTTATATTTTTTTATGTAGTATTTATTGAATAATTTACATTGATAAGTATATTTTTAGAAGGTTTATATTTAGTTATATTAATTATATTATTTTGTTTATTAGTTTGTTTTATATTTATTAGTACGTGTCACAACTTAGTTATTTTATCTTGTTTATTAGATTTGTCTTTTTGGTTTGGGCCGTTGGCCCCTGTGTTGATTACCCCGTGGGGGCCGATCCTATTCTCCTGTGGGGAGCGATTCTAGTTGTTGGTAGTATGTTGAGTCGGTTTG